CCAAAGCCCAGCAAGAAAGGTGCTTTTCATTCCCCCTCTCTTTCCTCTCTCTTAAGCAATCTGTCAGTTTCTTACTCGGTTCAATTTCTATTCTCGGACGATGTACTGTAGAACCCATTGTTTTTGAAAATACAATAACAGCTCGCAGAGACCAGTAATGGCGTGCCTAATGTTATGCATATTGAAAAGCAGTTTTTCTGAACATGATTATGTAACAGCTAATTGTCCATTTAATGTGAGTACTATCCCTGTTGTCAGTATTGTGCACTTGTGCATGTCATGTTAGTTACATGCAGTGGCAATAAAAAGGCAAAATTCCTTGCCAATGCTTTGAGCTGAATACAAATGTGGGCAGGCTAACGTAACATTGTCATGTTATGTTGCGTTAGCTTTGTAACATTTACTAATTAACACAAAACACAGCTGAGGCTGATGGGAATGTCAGTTTTGCTGATATTTGGTGAAAGTACTGGACATGATGATGGCGCTAAATGAAAAGATATGATGATCACATAAGTTATTATAATTCATCGTGGGTGGGACATGAACTCGTCTACCAGATTTGTGGCAATCCATCTGATAGCTGGCAAGACATTTCTGTCGAAACTATGAATGTCGCCTTGTGGTGGCACTAGAGGAAAAATCAGGGAATCACCAAAGTCGTAGTAGGATTCATTATCTAGGAACCATAAAACTCAAAATATCATGACAACCCATCTGATAGTTGTTGAGCTGTTTCAGTCTGGAACAAAGCGGTGGACCCACTGACCGACCGTCCAACCGACATTGCCGTCCTTATAGCAATGCTGCATGCATGGCTAAAGACCATAATACTGTATATATAAAATAATGTAATGAAGTGTCAGAGATGCAAAGCAGCATACACTGTTTTGCAGTAATGCAAAAAGGAAGCAAATACACTCAATGAATGAATGCACGACCAGGTGAGTGATTTAGTTTCTTGATCCATCATTTGCGTCAATTAATTATGATTATGATGTAATCATGTTGTAAGCAATGTTGCTTGGGACAAAAATTGCTCTGGGATGAATAAAGTTTTAACTCATCTTATCTTATGCAAGCTTTATACTAGAGATATGGTTTCTTTTGGACAGCCAGCGTTACCAGTGCCCTCAGTATTGAATAGTGTCAGGGACCAAACAGTCAAGCAATGAGGAAAACAGGAGTTTGTTAGAAAATAGGGTTTTTTTTAATTTACCTAAAAATACCAAACAATAGAAACCAAGAATTTAACATCTAGGCCTATAAAAGAGGTCAACAAAATATAACTATACTCAAAACAGCATACAACAAACAGAATATGAACTGAACAAACTGACCTAACTGAATGAGGCTCACAAGGGAACATATATAGTGGCTTGGCCAAACCAATTTACACACAGGGGGAAAAGAAAACGGCGCCAACTACAATTACTACAAGTAAAACAAACTAAACCCAAAATCCCCCTCCAACATGGCAGCACATGGTACGGCTCGATTGGCAGGCCACAGGATATAACAATCCTCCGCCCTTGGCCGCGCCTTTCTTCCACCAGGACAGACCTCTTCCACATGGTAACACAAGAAACAATGATTAATATAACAGAAAATATTTACTTAACCCTACAATGTGGAAATGTGTGCACTCTATTTAAGACAGTTTACAGTGTATGGCCAAAAGCAAATAAATGTATATTATAACTAAAATAAACTATGTAATCTGTCATTTGAAATTATGAATTGTTTGAGGTATGGCTAACTGCAAAAAGAACCTAACCTGTGAACTTAACGAAACATGGTATCCTTGTGTACTGTATTACCATTGCTGGCTGTTACCCTGTGTGGCTTGAGCCATCACAAATTGAGCATAGCGTTAGTTCAGGCAGGGCACGAAGTCAGGCTTAGCTTTGAGTTACAGCTATATCATACGATCACAGCTAGTCATAAACATACATCAGCTGATTCCTCTAAGCTTCCCATTGGATACCATACACAGTCAGCTGACAGCTCACCTGATTTCCTCAAGCATCCAATTGGCAAACATCTACATGGCGCCTTATTTAAGCTGCTTTAGCCTGCCTGCCTATCTCTGCTGCTCCTCTACAAGTCTGTTTGCCAGGATGTTGTGTGCGTTACTTGTGGTTTGTCGTTTGTTTCTACTTGTCCTGTCTGCGGTGAGTATCATGGCGGGTCAATTGCATTGTGAAGTCTCAGCAGCGATCTCGGCTGTTGGGGAGAGTGTCGCTTTTGAACAACATCCGCAGTTCTGTCTGGCTGCTCTGGTTCTGGGGGGTCTGCAGAAGGGGGGAGGAATTGCTCCTGCGGCTCCGCTGCAGTCCCGGTCCGGCTCCGGCTCCGGCTCCGGCGCTGCGCTGCCTTCCAGGGGAGCGCGGGTCCCAGGCGCAGCGGCCGGGTCCACCTGTCTTGCTTGTCAGCTCTGTCCAACATCCGGTTGTCGCTTGCCGTCATGGGTTCAAGGGTCCAGGGTTCGGTTTGGCACGTCAGGCCGGCCAGTCTTCGTCCGCAGTTGGCCTGTTTCCCTCTTCGCTGTCTGCAGGTAGAGCGCATGGTCCCACAGGTGCAGCGCTTGACGATGACGTCCAAGCAGCTTGTTTTGACGGCGTCACATTCCCGCCGAGAATGCTGGGAAGTGCAGTCCCAATCACCATAGGGAAGAACGTGCTGCCTCTCAAAAAGGGGGCATGAGAGATAAACCTTCAACCCCAGTAAACGTCCCTGAGCTGGGGAAGGCGCTAAGAAAGCATCTAAACGCTGTTTAGTGATTATCTGTTATAGGGCTGGTTCATGGTTCTTAGCTGGGCTGACTTGGTTGCCAAAACCTACAATCTGCTTTGAAAGAGCTGAGATAGTCGATGCTTTACTGAAGAAAGGATAACAAAAGGTTTATATTGGTCCATTCATAAATCGCCTTCTCAACAAGCATTAAGGTATAGCTACCAGGAAATATTCAGGGAAAATAAATAAAATAAAAACATAATTATTAATTTATCTGCTCTTGCAAAGGCAAAACTGAGGTATAAATAGTTTAAATCCTCCTGCACTTTTCCCTTATTTTATGCTATAATCTACAATGCCATCAGTTGATTAAGGAAGCATGTAGAGGCACATGGCTTGCCAAGGCAGATGTCACAGATGCATTTAAGTCATGCATTACACCTTCACACTGGCATCTGTTCGGTTTAAATGAAGAGAAATGTACTTCTCAGTTAGGCTCACCTTTGGTTGTTACAGCCGCCCCAATATTTGATACCTATCAGAGGCTCTCTGCTGGATTCTTTTAATAACTGCAACTGCTTTCGTGCTCCATCTCGTAGACGATTTTCTGTTAGTTGACTATCAATTCAAAATCATGCATTTTTGCTCTTAAATATACCTTTAAAACATTAGATCTTCCGCTATCCAAGGAGAAACATCAGACCCTGTAAGGCTAGAGTTCTAGGCTTCACTCTAGATAGTGTACTGATGCAAAATTGCATCAAAGAGGTAATGAAAGCAGCAGGCAGTAGTATTTCCAAAAGAGAACTGCTCTCCTTGCTTAGACATCTTAAATTGGCATGTGTGTTATTCCCCAGGGAAGTTCCCTTATATCCAGGCTTCTGGACCTCTCCGATTTATAGAGAACTCCATGATATGGTGAGCTTGGATGAGGGCTGCAGATCCGAGCCCCAGTCCTGATCTCTCCTGTGTGATAATGGTATGGCATCTCCTTCTTTTACAATGAGCAGCTAGAATCATCATTTGCCATTAATTATAAAAAGACGCAGCATATTGATTACATATAAATTAATCGAACACTGTGTGCCAGTTCACCCTGGGCGCTTTATGTCAACAGCAAGGTCTAACAGTGTGACTGCTATGATCTACTAGATCCAATTGGCAAACATCTACATGGCGCCTTATTTAAGCTGCTTTAGCCTGCCTGCCTATCTCTGCTGCTCCTCTACAAGCCTTTTTGCACCCACCTCCACCCCAGCTCCCCCTTTTTATGTTGTTTCTAATTAATCAATGTCATTTTCTGATTGCCACTGATGCTTGCTCTGTTCTGTACCCTGCGGGGTCTCTGCTGCCGCTCTCCTTGTCTTAAACCTTTCCATGTATGCACATGGAAGGGCAGGGAGGTGTGCTCTCCCTGTCTTAAGGTTTCCACGTAGGCACACGGAAGGACAAGGAGGTCCCAGAACAGAGCCGTACCGCCAAATGTAAAATTCTGCTTGAAATATAAGATATTTTGACAAAAGTGGTCCTGACTGAAATAGCATGACAAGACTGAGGACTCTAGTTTGAGGGCAATAAACTGGTGCAATCCATGGCCAATAACTACCCAGTGCATGTCTTTTCTCACAATTTCACACAGGCACTAACAAGATATACTGAGCCAGAATCCCACTTAATGTGCCGTCTTCTCTGGTGTGGCATCCTTGATCTGGCTCTGTTGTGAATATTCTTCTGTGTGCAAGTTCACAAGTAAAGCCTCCCATTCAAATAAGTACCCCTGCTGTAGTATGTCACTTTGGATTAAAAACATCTTTTCAAATGACAGCGTTGTAGTCACATATTCAGGTTCACAAATAAAATGAATTTGTGACAGCATGTGTGTGTGTCACTGCTCCCCATGTCAAGAGTTCTTTATGGATCACACTGTATGTGTATGCTTGAATGAGATTAACACTTCAGATCAGAAGCCTTGACACTAATAACTAAGAGGATGCAGCAGATTTTGATGTCTGCACAAAAAGAAACCAAAGTAAACATAAAAAATAAACATGATTAAAGGAGAATAATTCAAATCCAGGAAAGAGTGAGGCAGGTACAGAGGTTAAAAAGAAGCGGGTAGATGGAGATCTTTTGAGATAGATATAAAATAAGACCGGTAGAAGGTGCACTGACTATTTTGTTTGAGGGTGAAGCAAAGCTATGACCAGCTAATCCTATTTGTGATGTGAAACCTCAGTATTTATTGTATGTATTATTATTCTTACCTGCGACTCGGGTTGATCTGTATTCTTTGTACATCCTAGATATGCAGCGCCATTGTGTGTGATCTCAGCTTCTCCGGTCTTGTTGCAAATCTGTTTGGGAAAACAAAATCACAAAATCAACAATAACAAAGTGATCAGTTGCTGTTTGTTATGCTTATAAAAATGCCCTAGAAGAGTCTCTTATGCCACAACTCTGCAACCCGACTTTTTCATTTTGTGGTCCTTCAAGGACGCTGACTGAGAGCAGTTAAGAAGGGCCAAAATAAAAGGGCTTTGTCTTGAATAGAGATAGAAGACAAACAGAGGAGAATGTAATTCATCCGCTTTTCCAAGAGGCACGACCTCCCTGCTTTGTGGAGCAGAAGCTCATCGGAGCCAGAGAGGGCTCTGAGGCGCGGGAGGGTCCCATTGACTGTGCTATTAACACTCAAACTGGGAGGATCAGCATAGAGGAAATACAAAACGCTGCCAGAAGGATGCACAGAGAATTCTGTAATGTATTTCATTCCAGCGAGAGGGACCCTGAGGGTGCCGTGATGACCAGAGTAATTGGCTTTCTCCAGCTATGATAATCTGCATCAGTCATGCCATGCCAACACACTCTCAGGCCACTGAGAAGGTCACAGTGATGCCCGGACCCCGCTCCTCTCTGCTGACTGCAGCCGCTGAATTCCTATTGAAAGAACGCACAAGCAAGACATTTTTTCTGTATTCTTGGGATTTTACCTTAAGGGGACTTCCAGGGACTTGAATTGTTTTTTTATTCTAGACTTGTTTAGTATCAATGCTTTTGTTTTTGACTTGGAATTTAATTTTAGGTTTACAAAAACCAGCTCAAACATAACTTATATGTCATAAAATAGAGCTGAAAGAATTAATTGACAAATTGGCAGATTCACCAAAATTAGGAAAATGAATTGATGAATGAATTGCTATCAAGTGTCAAATAAAGTAAAAACTCCCCATCATATCTCACAGCTTTAGTAGGATTTGAATGTATCAGTTCTGTTATTCTCCTTCCCTCTATTCTCCATGTCAGACAGCGATAAGATTTTTATCACTTATCGCCTGACATGCAGGTATAGTTTGACAAATACTGTAAACGACAAGTGCAAAAAGATCACGGCTGACAATAACATCTTTATAAACTACTATGCATGTAGGTTAAACTGCTCTTTTGTAACCAATACAATTGATGAGCAGCTCACAGCGTGCAGTAAGGCTTATACAACCAGACATTGACATCAGTTGAGGACATGTACTGTACGAACAAACCTGTTTCCTTGAAAGTGTGGACTTACACTGCTGTTATAGAACTTAACGTTCCATTATTTCTTTCATAACAGTACTGATCATTTTAATCTGGGGACAAGCACTTTACATTTGCAACTATATAACTGTAGAAAGGTACTGAAACCCTGCATCCTTTATTGTTGTTGGCAGTCAAGGCCTTCAGTGAGTACTGTGGCCAGGATATCTTTATGAAGTTTTATCTATCTATTTTTTACCAGCAATTTTTTAAAGTCATAGCCACATTGATTAACTGAACTGTGTACCTCTATCAGTGCAGCTGTGGCTCAGAGGCAGAGTGGGTCGTTCCTGAATTGGAAGGTTGTGGGTTCGATCCCCGGCTCCTAGCTCAAAGAAGTATCCTTGAGCAAGATACTGAACCCCAAATTGCTCCCGAAGCCATGCATCAGTGTGTGAGTGTGCATGAATGTTAGTTTCTGTTCGAAGGACTTTGCCATCACTGAGTGAATGTGTGTGAAAGGGTGAATGTGGCACGTAGTGTAAAAGCGCTTTGAGTGGTCGGAAGACTACAAAGGCGCTATACAAGTACAGGTCCATTTACCATTTACCATCAGCATCAGATTAGCAACATATATGGCGAAACTCCGCTTCCAAGACAGACCACCTTCTTGGTCCCCTGAGCAAGAGCTACCCAGGGTTCTACTGCTACACAGTATCAAAACAGCTTATTAAAGTTATTGCATCTGTTGTGGTGAATACACAGAACAGAACAAAAGTAGTGTTGCCCAAAATTCTTCCCAAGTTTCTACAGACTATAATGATGAGGGTTTTTTTTACTTGTATTTGTCTGTAGTATAATCAAATTTATTACGAAGGTGTCCTTATCAACACTGCTGACCTCTAATGACCCCCAAATATGATTCAGTGGAGACAATCTGATAACCTTCGATTAATCCTGGGAATACAGGGAATGTTTATGAAAGAATGCACAATTGTTTCCTTTTTCCACATGGTTTCAATATAGAAAACAATGAAGACTGGGATAAAAGAATGCTTGGGGAATGGGGGGAAAGGAGAAACATGATTAAAACGCTGGCTTGTGTTCAGAAAGGGGCTCTCAAAGTATGAACATTTACAAAAAAGATTATAAAATATTTTGAAAAGGACAAAACATCACTATTCCCATAATTAAACCCATCTTTAACACCTCCCCCATTTAACAATCCCTTTTTAACTCATAATAGTCCGAAGTCTTTGTTTTCCCACAATGGCTTGTGTTAGGACAATTTTGAAAAATTCCAAAACAACTAAGATAGATTTGCAATTGAATGTAACTAAAAAAAGGTTCTATATGTAACTTTCAGAAAACCGTTGTTAATAGCAACACCAGTGGCCATTAAGTGAACTGCAGTCAGCATTCTGTTGCTAGCACTCCGTACACAGTACGCTGGCGAGAGCAATTATCATCCTGAGCATCTGCCAGAAGTGACATACAAGGAACTGAGGGTTGGAAAATCAATTACAATCATAATTAAAATAACGTTGCTACCTGCAATGTTTCTATATTCTATTTGGACCACTGTCTCCATGCTACTAACCAACTGTTTACAAATCACCCCATCAGGCAAAACCACAAAGCAACCAATGGCAGACCCACACTGCACACCAAGCCAGCCGCAACTAGCTTAGGCTATAGTTAGATAGTTGGATGCTCCTCCCCCTTGCATTGCTCTTGGCTAGTTGAAAAAGCATCGTTTGCTTTGTACCATGACATAAGTTATTGTGGGCTAAAACACTGTTTGTCATTCATCAGCTGAACATCGGTATCTGCCTTTGTTTGTCTTTTTGACGTCGGCCTATCAGCAAATAAGAAGGCATTCACCTATGTCAGCAACCAATGTTTATATGTTGTGTTGCATCACTTTGGCGCTGACATATTGTTGTGTTGGTTATTTCCAACTCGGATATTAGAGAAATAATCACCTCCATTTTCCGGCACTGGCACAAATTACACAAAGAGTCCTACCTATGTGCTCCATGCAGCAGCACAGACAGTAAGCAGCTGTTCAGCTCGGCATCTCACATCTTGGGTGAGAAGAGGAATAGACTGAGCTGCAACAAGGCAGAGAGGCTTATCTTTGTAGATTTCTTTGTTTCCCTGACACAAAAGGGTGGATAAATTACCACAAAAAAACATCGGAATCAACCTAATTGTTCTTTTAAACATGGGTATCAGTATCAGCCCAGAATTTGGTGCATCCCTATTTGTCGTAACACATAATATCATGGATCACAATAGGTGGTGAATTAATTTGCTACGTTAGCTAGCTAGCAATTCATTGCAGTAATGTGAGCTTTGACTTTGAACATTGTGTTGGACTCTGACTCTGAGTCGTTTGTGAGCAGGCTCTATTTATAAGCTAATGTTAGATAGTGGTGCACATTGTTGGCAAAAGTGGGCAGAGAAGACACTTGGGAGTGTCACACAGAAGATGTTCTGAACCTCGCAGGTATTTGGACCTATAGGTGGCGTTACACGAAACAATGAAACAGCTGAAAATGTGGGCAGATCATTCACCAAAGTAACAGCAACCACAAGTAGAAAGCCAATGAGAAAAGGCACACACCCCCACTGAGAGGACAAAGAAATAGGCTACTTATTCACCATCAGAATGGCATTAGCCTAAACTTCAGAAAAATAATGACAGTTATTTTAATTTGGGAAAATAAGATAATGGGGGGCGGTGCATATAAAATCAGTTTTTTAAGTCCTTTGTGGGCACAACAACAAATGGTATTCATCACTCTTAAGGCACCCACATTCCCCATCATATTTGTTATTACCAACATCTTTCATTTCCACACACTTAGCTCTAAAATACTCTTCTATCGTTTGGAAAAAAGCTGGAGCTGCTAACCTGAGGAAATGTGCACACTAATGATTATGAATGAAGCAGAGAAGCTGGGAAGAGAGAAGTTTCACACTGGCCTTTGAAATCAGTCTCCGAAATTGTGATTCAGATCCAGCAGCAGGCTTACCAATATGCAAGCTTCAGAGCAAGCACAAAAGCTGAGGAGTTTTATGCAGACACACTTGCTGAGACCATGGACATTATTAAAATGGAAAAATAGATTTTCTTTGTAGCAGAAATGCAACTTGAATTGTTTGTCAAAATGAGGAAGAAGGTATAAGCAATCAGCCAGATGGCTAAAATTATATAAGGGTTGATGATTGTTTGGTCGAATTTCTTAGTAGTCAAAAAAACATCTCAGCGGCATTGTATGCATGATTGTTATTGATGGCTGCTCATGTGTTACTGGTAAATCAATAGAGCGAATAGGCAACAATGTCAGTTTTACTGCTTCAAAATGCCATTAGACATTTCTGCATCCCCTCCTACAGACATTAATCATTCAGACAATGTGTTTAGCCTTGTGTAAGTATGTATTTTCACATGTATTTTCACACATAGTTCAGCACATTTGTCATCTTGACGAATGCACCAGGCCAGACACCTGTGTCTAGTAGGGATTAGAGGATCCCCTCAGTGAGGAGAGGATTATCAGAGTGAACTGGCCCCTATAGTGATGGAGAAGGGAGATACCTCATAATAGCCCCGATAGGTCCATTCATCTTTTGTCTCCACAGCAGGGAAACAGCAGCCTGGGAAGGCACAAACCAAATCGCCCTCTGCAACAATCTGCAGCGTTGGATTAATCATACCAACTTCACAAGAACCGATCGGTACTTCACAAGCAACTCTCGTGTACCTTTTCTTTCCTGTAGCTGTCCCTCAGCCGGCGCGCTTATCTCTGTGATGAAGCACCTCATCTCCCAC